TGTCAGGTAATGCTTCACGCGGCTGGTTCCGTGAAAGCTAGAGAACATCGTCTGCATCCCTGTTTGCGATCGGCTGACCAGGACATCGAGGGCATTTCAGTGTACTATACCCAACGTAGACAATGAATCACATACCTATTTTAAGTATACTGACGGAGGTGACTAAATTAAGAGTCTATATATAAACACCGGGCGTACAGGCCGCCAAGCCTCCACAGCGAGAGTCTGGTCCAAGTTCAGCAGCGAGAGCCTGATCCAAGCCTCTACAGCGAGAGCCTGATCCAGGTCCTCATCAGCCTCAGTTTTCACCACTTATGCACATCCACGTATACAGAGGCACATCAGCCGCATAGGCTGCCAAGCCTCCACAGCGAGCCTGATCCAAGCCTCTACAGCCAGAGCCTGATCTATGTCCTCGTCGGCCTCATTTTTCACCACTTATACACATCCACGTGTAAAGAGGCCATCAGCCGCCCATACGCCAGGTAGTTCGCGCCAGCCACCACGGCGGTGAGGGGAAGCAGGCTTGACCGCGCACTGGAGCCTTGTTGTTGCCTTCTCACCCGTGCTGCCTCCATCTCTCGAGACTTCGACACTTCGTGCTCTTCAAATAGGCTACGCTATACTCCTGTTGCTGACTCTGACCTGTCCAGAGTCCACCGATTTCTTCGCCGCTGTCTCAACAAGCACCACGAACACCATATATAAACACCAACAATTGCCTCACAAGGCCCCCTGCACGATGACATCCCTTAAGGCTCTCGATAGCATCGACTCCTACACGGTCGCCTGGATCTCTGCCTTGCCGATCGAACGGTCTGCCGCAGAGGCCATGCTCGATGAGGAGCATAAGACCCCGACCAACTTCGTCAGACACGAGTCTGACGAAAATATTTACACATGGGGTCGGCTGGGAGAGCACAACGTCGTCCTTGCCTCGCTCGAAGCTGGGTCAAACGGGGCTTCAATGGCGGCGACGACTGCCTCGAGCCTCCTTGCCTCTCTACCGTCGATACGCATCGGCCTCTTAGTGGGAATAGGCGGCGGTATTGCTCGACCGATGGACAAGAACCAAGACATCCGCCTGGGAGACATTGTAGTCAGCCAGCCGGATGGGACAACGGGTGGTGTATGCCAGTACGACCTGATCAAGGCCAAGACTGGCGGCAAGCGCGAACGCACAGGCTTCCTCGGAAAGCCTCCGAAAGTTCTACTTCACGCCCTTTCCAAGATCCAGGCAGCACATGAGCGCGAGGACTCCAAGGTCCCTTTCCATATTCAAGGGATGCTGGCCAAGTACCCCAAGATGGGCAAGAAGTCCGACAGAAAATCTGGCTATGCTCACCAAGGCTCCGAGAACGACCGGCTGTTCCAGGCCACCTACGCCCATACATCTGGGTCGGACTGTCAGGATTGCGACAAAACTGGCGAGGTCCCACGAGACGCTCGCGATACAACAGATCCCGAGATCTACTACGGCATTATCGCATCAGGTAACACTCTTGTCAAAGATGCGGCAGAGCGCGACCGGATCGTTGATGACGTTGGCGAAAACTGCCTCTGCTTCGAGATGGAAGCAGCTGGCCTGATGAACTCCTTCCCCTGCCTTGTGATCCGGGGCATCTGTGATTACGCTGATTCTCACAAGAACTATCAGTGGCAGCAGTACGCATCGGCCACTGCCGCTGCGTATGCGAAGGAGCTCCTCGCCTATGTCCCGGCCGTCGAGGTACAGGGGACTGAGCGGGCGTTGGAGCTGATACGATCGGGTTCGTCTACCACTCTCCCACACTACAGAAGCCAGCCTGTAATCTGTTATGAATTTGGACATTCTTTGACGCTTCCTAGTCGATGGGAAACTCGACAATGTGGGGCAGACGATGAATGCGACAAAAGCAAACATTGACCTTATTATGTCCAACCACCACTCCGACAAGATAGAACGATGGCTGCACGCGCCCGACCCATCCACAAACGCCAACCACGCGAGAGCGCTCCGGCATAAAGGGACCGGCACATGGCTCCTGAATCACCCCGTCTTTAAGTCATGGGCCTCGGGGTCGTGTCAGCATCTGTGGCTACATGGCCTCGCAGGATGTGGCAAGACAGTACTCAGTACGAGGGTGATAGACAGCTTTGCGGCAGCTACCGATCGGCTTCTTATTTATTTCTTCTTCGACTTTAGCGATACGACGAAGCAAACCGTAGACGGCATGTTGCGGTCGCTTGCCTTCCAGCTTTATCAAAGTAAGGCAGGATCGTCGGTTCTCAACGCGTCATTCTGGACGCACCAGGATGGCTACAAACAGCCTGCTACGAAGACACTCGAGAACGTTGTGATCAAGATGCTCAGAGCCACGAAAAAGGTCTTTGTTCTTCTCGACGCCTTGGACGAGTCGACAACAAGAAATGAACTTCTCTCATGGATCAAGAACATCGCTTCTGAACCAGAGTCGGCTCACGTCCAGCTA